TCTTGTTTTAAATTTTCTATTATTGTTGTAAATTTAACCACTATTGTGATAATTTTGCTCATTACTGTTATAAATTTTTCACTAATATTGTAAATTTTTTATGGATGTAATTTTTTAAACTATTGTGGTAATTTTGTCCATTATAATTGTAAACTTTTTACTAATATTGTAATTTTATCCTCAATTAATAGGGTTACAATTTTTCGGCATGAAATATTTTGGTACCGTAGTCTAATCTTAAAGAGGAGATGCCCTGACCAAAAAAACAATAATAATTTTATGTGTACCAAAAATGTGCACCAAGTGATTGAGAGCCTTTGAATGATAGTGAATTCCATTGATCTAAAGGCCGAAGATGATTTGTTATATATTTTTTGTAAGGGTATAATTTCGGTAGGCCAACCCGAATTCAATTCAAAAAAATAGGTTTGGATTGAGGTTTTTAATATTTAGGTTAAGTTTGGGCTAAAAAACACTAATCCGAATTAAATTCGAACAGTACTCGGATTGAATCTTCGGGTTATCGAGTTCAACCTGAATATTGAATCGCTTCAACCTTAACATATTTAAAAATAAATATATAAATTAATAGCAATATAACTTACAACCAGGTCTGCATGCATATATTTTTCAAGTGCAAATTTTTTTTTTAGATTTTGATTTCATTTTTAATTTCAGATTTTTTCAAATGTAAAATTTAATTTGTTGATTTTGATTTCATTTTGATTTCCAGATTTTTTTTCAAATTTAAAATTTCATTTTCAACCCAATCTAAATTAAGTACCCAAATTCAACCCCAAATTTGCTCGAATAAAGTAACCTAAATTCAATTTGAACCCACCCCGAATTCAACTTGGGTAGTACTCCGGTTGAGTCAGGTTATAGTTAATGTTAGAGTTAAAGATTATATACTTAAAATTAGATTAGGGTTAACCCCTCAACCCGCACAACTATACAAGTTGCACCACTAATTTTTTTTTTGTGCATAACATAACTTNTAGTTAATGTTAGAGTTAAAGATTATATACTTAAAATTAGATTAGGGTTAACCCCTCAACCCGCACAACTATACAAGTTGCACCACTAATTTTTTTTTTGTGCATAAAAAAAAAGAAGAGAGAATTACACACAGACCCCCTGAGATTTGTCATTTAATTACTTACACCCCTGACATTTAAAATATTACACACAGACTCTCTAAAGTTTGTACGCACGTAACATTTAGACCCTTACTATAAATACGTCCGGTAATAAATTACACTAAAACCCTTTGAAGTTGTAAACATATATTATTTAGACCGCTTAAGTTTAAAATATTATACCTAAATAAAAAATAATTCAATCAAAGATAAAATGTCAAATATTTTAAATTTTACAATTAAAATTAATGTTATATTTTATTATTTATTGAAATAAAATTAAAAATAAAAATTTAATTTTTTCTTAAAAAATCATAATTAGTATACAATTATATGTCTATTAGAATTTAATTTGGTCGATTAAACGACTAAATTAAAATACCAAACTACTCTAATTAAAACTAAAAGATTTTGTGTCCATTATAGTTTGACGCTTTGTTAAATTTTTTAGGTTTATTTTAATAGATAATATAATTATATATTAATTATGATTTTTTATTAGATTTTTATGTTTAATTTTATTTCAATAAATGACATAATAGAACATATATTTTAGATATAAAATTTATATTATATTATAAATGACTTAGACCCCATGTTTAATTTTTTAGTTTTATCTTATTAGATAGTATAATTGTATACTAATTACGATTTTTTTATAATTTATTTTAATAAATGATACAATAAAATATAAATTTTGGTTATAAAATTTAAAATATTTAATATTTTATATATAATTAAATTATTTTTTGTCTAAGTTCAATGTTTTAAACTTAAAAAGTTTAAGTATTTATATTTACAAACTTCTGGGAGTTTAACTATAATTTATTAAAAGATATATTTACAATGATCTAAATGTTATGCACATACAAACTTTAAAAGATCTGTATGTAATATTTAAAAGATCTGTATGTAATATTTTAAATATCAGGCCGATTAAGTGACAAATCTCTCAAAAAAAAAAAAAAAAAAAAA